AGTAGAATCATTCATACTGGTTAGTGATAGTAACAAAAAACAAGCAAACAAACAAACAAACGATTAAGTCTAAAGAACATGTTCATACAATTTGTTCCATTCACAAATTTGAGGAAAAAAAAAGAAGAAGCAGAAGTAGAAGAAGCAAGAACAACAATATCTACAGAATACGATGAATTCATTTCATTTTATTACTTTCACTTCAGTTAAATACAAGTTAATGTGTTAAATTATTTCGAAATGAATAACATCATGTTAAAAATCAATTGCCAAACAATAATGAATAAGTTGTGTGTAATATGATAGAAGTTAACAATTACGGTTATAAGAAAATGGGTCTTATTATAATTACATGAACTAGTAGTTATTATATTGTTAAGATAATTTTATGGATTAATATTATAACGGACATCGTTTTTTTTTGGAAATTTAGAAAAGATGGCCATGTAAGGTCAATTCATTGAATTATTCTTACGACGAGTTGAAAACAAAAAGAGGTCAAAATGTTACCAATGCAGTTGAGGGTTAATTACTGACTATTTCTGAATTTAAAAGTCAGGTTTAATCCTTCTGATTACTATAGTTTTTCAGAATTCTAGTAACATGGAATTGGTATGTTTATTGATAACTTTGAATGAATTCATTAAGCCTGAGTTGAATTCTGGATCTAGTAGGTAGTGTACTTCTGAAATTCGCAAATAGCTTTTTCCTTGAAGGCATAGGATCTCTAGAATATGTTCATTGAAACGAATAGAATCCTGTCTTTCTATCCTTACAATGAACATGCTTTTGCATATACATGTAAGCTGGTATATACATCGGGATGTAACAAGTGACAGATATGTATTCACTTTTATTTGTGTTCTTGATCATAATGTTGTGTATAACGGAATCAACTTTACAGTAGATAATGTACTTTTTAAGGCTGCTTTTCATGTTTGATTGATCCTGTTCATTATCTGATAATTTTTAAATGAGAATCGAATGAAAATATTCTTGTTTCGGGTGTATATCTTTCCATAGTAACTCAGTATTTGTTGCTGATTAAGGGTATCTGTTCTCTCGTAGACAATCCTTTATCACAGTATGCTCTTCCTTGAGCTTTTCTGATAAATCTAACCGTCTGGCTCTGTGATAAAGCGTTTTCACCAATGCATATTTTCAGCTAATGGAGTAAAAACTGTGAAGGTTTATATACTGTCTATTCCAAGTCTCTTTTCTATATACATACTTCTGACAAATTTCATCATTTCTCCTGGAAATACCATGCGGTGGACGTTGCTGAAAGATCTAACTATTTTATTTTCGTGGTTTACGCAGTTATTCAAAATCAAAGTACCACTGACACATCTTGCTTATAGTGTAGTCATGTTAGTGAGAGGTAGTAGTTTTTTTCTTTAGAAATTTTCAACAAATGTATTGGTAAAGATAAGTCCTAAATGACTGCTCATTAACACACTACCTACTCGATAGTATAATTTGTTGTTAAAATTGAACTGAACTTTCTTAGCATATAGTTTTAGTAATTGTGTGAGTTGTATTTGTGGTATAGAAATATGTTATGAATATATGAAATAATAAGTTCTTCTGATAGATTTATCTTCTATATTCATGTAAAGGATATGATTAAAAAAGAATGAATGAATTAGTGGAATTGAAAGTATAAGATGATTTTAAAATTTGGGATCTACGGAAAGGCAGAGAACACCTGCATCTGCGCCATTGTGATTGATCTCTAGACATTTATCACGATAATTGCACTGACCATAACCAGATAGTCTACATATGCCAATATGGCTCAATCCAACAGTCAGTGACTTCATTAACTGACCCAACTTCCTAGTTTGACCACCCCTAGTTTTCCTTCAACTTTTATGATATGAGTGATGAAAGCTTATTGACTCTATAAAGTCATTTGGGCCAATAATTAAGGAGTTTGTATATGTTATTATAAATTACAATGTTTCATATATCTGTATGTAAATTTATGGCTATTGTCAGTTGTTAGATCTATTATTCAGATAAGATTTTAGTTATGAGAAAATAGCTCTAACTACGAATAGATAGTACTATCATGGAAAACTGGGAAAAACTGGATAGATTTTTCGTTACAGTTTGGTGCTCCTCGTTAGTGGATTGCTATAACTACACACGGGCCAAATTAGAGATTCTCAAATCCTCTGATGAACCACAATCACACCAAATACTCAGTCTAATTCCATACATTTTTTAAAATTTTCTTAGCTTCACTCAATTTGTACTACAATGCGAACATTATCCTACCATGCAGATTATTTATCCTAGTTTACACCACTGACTGGTCTTCGTTAATGTGCAGTTGTTAGCCAAGCAACACTAGACAGCTGTTTTGCTCTCGTAAAGGGTTACTCAACAATGTGGTTCAAGGAATCTGTCTATGTCAATTGCAGTTGTATTGCTGAATGCTGATGCAGAAGTTTAAATGGTTAAGCGTCCTTCATGAAAATCGAAGATCCCAGGTTCGATCCCCAGTGGGCTCAGTGAACACAATTAAGGAGTCTCACATCAGGACGTAAACCCTATTCAGTGACTCCATGAGTTTATTGGTTGTTTAATTAAGATATTCCTGAGATACAATCTTTACAAATCCCTTATATATAGTAAAACAGTTTATTATTGTAATATTTTGGGATCATGATAATGAACTTCCTATTATCTACACAAACAGTCAACTTATTTAATCAGGAAGACATATGTTCGTTGATTATTTACATCAATATTTTATAAGATAATACATGTTTTCATTTTAACATTTAAATAAAATACAGGATTACTAGAACAATAATAGAAAAAAGTGATTTTTTAAAATAAATTCTTTCTCCAGTTCTATAGATTTGAATTCCCGTCTAAGTAAACATTATGCTAGTTAGGTAATAAGTAGACTGGTATCGTTAGTCTTAGTTTGTAAAATCCATTCATCGTCCTCATATCTTTTTTTATTCTGTTATGTAATGTAATTCGTTAATCCATTGTGAATTGACCTATTAGACTTAGAAACAATTTTGATTTGTAAAGGCTAGTGAGACTATGTGGTTGCCTTGAACTAAGTAAATGGTGCACTATTCGAACCTGAAAACTAATGTTCAAAATTTAAGCACTTGTATCATCAGAGTAACTTCATCAACGAGTAGACAATACTCAATTTTCTAAAAAGGGTTTCCATTAGAAAAAAAGAATATGAAGTATTCCAAGTGCTAGATAGCTACAATTACATGATTATAAAGAGATTAAGTGAAAATAAATAGTTATGATTGACAGTGTAAAATTTGTTAATTTTATAAACAACCTTATATTCAATCTGATTTTGAATTTTGAACATCTGAATCGACTTTTTAAGACAATTAAACGAATTCTAAACATGGTAATAAGATTAAGGGCAGGGAGTAGAAATCTGGATTCCATTTTTTTGAATGTATGTACCTTTCAAATGCACAAGTTATCTAAATAATGATATTCCATAGAATAGTGGATACAAAATGAAACGTACAGATTTGTTAAATGATAATATACATGCTGTGAGACAATATATACAAACGATGTGAAAAGTAAATCAAGTCGAAAATGTTCAAATATTATTATGTTTCAGAATTCACTAACTCTAAATCAGACTAATGATAATAACGATTTATTTGCATCTGTTCCTTATGAAGGAACATGGGGATGGCCCTCCATTTTTTAGGTAGATGCACACTGTTTATAGTTCGACAGATTATTTGCTATAAAGAGATTACTATGGGTTGTTTGTAATTTGGTACATGATAACAGAAGATGAATAAATGTTAGCTTTATTATTTATTTGTACTCGTTGATTCAGTATCAAACCACTGACTGCGTTTTACACACTTTCATCTGGCTATATACCAAGATATTTTTGACCCATAATAATAGTTTGTTGGATTTAAAAATGCAACTGACTAGTCTTAAAAGAGAAGTTGAGTTCTTGGTCATCAATACAGGGATTCGAAAACATTTATGAAATGAACCGCATTATTTTGATAATATTGTGTACTTTAAGCCGGATGGTTTCATTACAAAGTGTTGGTTGTCTTTCTCCACAACATCATTGGCATTCAATTCTATCGGAAGTCTAACTCAAACAGGACAACATCACCAAATGTGTTCACTTGAACTACTAACCTTTTCTCTAATTTCGAATCATATTCTTTTTAATAAGAGAATGCTGGTTAATTGCTAGCATAAAAGTGATATTCTTCTGAGGTAGGTCTATCAAAAAATATCATTTCAAATTTAAAAGACTTCAATTTTCATTTTCAGTAGTTTACCATTCATATCTCTGACTTTGATGCTCATTAATATAGGTTGGAATTCTATGGAGAACATTAGTTTCATTAAAGCTACCAATAGACTTATCTAATAAGTAACAACTAGTAAGAAATCTATGCCACCTACCGACTATTTTCAATCTTCATTCAACGAATTCTGTCTCATATAGTTTGTTGAATAATGATATATTTACTTAAATACTGATTAATAATTTTAGAAGTAATACATTATAAAGTATATTTGGTATTCATAAAACAAATCCTTTATTAAAATACTTTGATTAAAATACCTAATTAATATGATTCATCAATGAAAGAAATAATTTAGAGGAGCTAGCAACTTATCAGAGTACATAAAAAATACAGTGAAATTGTGAAATTGGACGATTGTCATGACATATTTCGGTTTAATTTCACTGAAAAATACTAACTCAATGGTCTAAAGATGACATGGTGGCGGGTGTGAAAGCTAGACATTTTAGGATTCAATCTAGTGTATTGTTGCTGGTTCGCACTTCTAAGAAGCCTTGAAATGGAGTAAAAATACTTCATACATTTCAATCACTCTCCGGTTGATGTCAACTGGTTAAGGAAACCGGCTTGAAGTCGAAAAAATCCATACAAACCACCTCTTTAGACAAAGTAATATTACCAGTATATACATATACATATACTTACTTTCAATCCAAAAGGTGAACTCTCCATTGAAACATTATATTGCACATTTGCTATTGGAGTATCTTCTAATCGTCCTAACGGTATAGATGGTTCCCATCTATTTAATTGTGATGGTATAGTAAATCGTAAACGTAGCCTAGTTGATGTTTCTTGTCTCAGTTCAAATGAAATATTTTTTATTTCATTTCGATAATATTTTGGATTTGATTTATACAATTGAGCAATCAAACCACGTTCAGTTTTTTGACTTGAATAAATTTGATAAGTTGGATAGGATTTTGGAAAAAAACATATTGGCAATGCATCATCATCTAATATAGGTTTTGGAATCCAACAACAACCTCGAGATTCGCATACACTACGACTTGCATGTTGATCAGGATGACAATCTAAACGTTCAACTTTGGGAATTTTTTCACATTGCTTGAAGAGATTTAAAGTAGGTCTAGTACTTTTCAGTAGAAATAATAATAATAATATTGATAATTTATGTAGGAATATAAGTGACATTCAGAATAATTAGATTTTAGTTCAGTTTCAAATGAATCATTAAAATATGTTTTCTGCTTAAATATATAGGCTGTAGTTCAAAAAAACTATTCATTCGGTTGAACCTTTGAATATACTGACATTATTTAACCCATGATAGTGTGAATGACCGTTTTTCGGTGTTGCATAATATTTAAAAATTAGTTTGATAATACATTGTTTGTTTGAATCTCCCTTCAATGTTAACTATAAGGTCATCATTAAAACACAAGTGTCAAACTAGTAAACTATGGCTTAATTGTTCTGATTTACTCAATAAAACAATACCAGCTAGTTTTTTTGTTGGAGAAATACATATATGATCATAGTAATAAACTACCCATTGACAGTTAAATTGTATTACCTGAAAAAAATGTTTTTATAGAATGTTCGATAATTTGTTTTTGCGTGTGTACATGTGTGGCCTGAAATGTTAATTTTCTAGGGTAAAGGTGATTAAGCTTAACTGAAGGATATCATGTTCATTTATCCAAAGTCACATGATATGACAGTGCTGTTTGTCATTTGAACTGCATTCCAGGTGTCTGTTTTCAGAGTTTACTTATTTATAACTTATTTATAGACTAGTCGAAGTGTTGGTAAATTATAGAAATGAAAAAACTCAGCTTAGAACGGGTAATAATAATTAACTGACATCAACTGATAGAGCATTCGGAACTACAAAGGGCTTTTCAGCTTTTTATTTCGGTTTTAAAACTATCGAAGATTGCTACTATATGATTAAAATAGAAATTATCTTCAAGTTCTACATATCTTTGCTCAAAGTGAAACTAGCCAATAACAATTATCATGCATTTACCAATCGCTAGCTTCATGATAAACTCTTTGAAATTCAAAAAAGAATTTATGGAGTCTGAAGTCAATCAAGATGAGAGTGTTGTAGCAGCTCATCAATGAACTCGTATATGAATGATTGGAAACAGATATTAGTCAGTTTGAATTTAGGTTCTGTGGTGGTTGGTGCTATTCCGCATGATGTACCTATACTGATGAGGGGAGTGATGTTCTTACTAAGAAGGACATTTCCGGTCAATTCAATGGTATGTGCTCCTGTGACAGTAATTAAGGAGGGTTGTCATGTCACGGGAAACACCGATTTCGTTTAGATTGCGATTATGCCTTGCTGGTAAATGTCAAATAGCACTCATATTGAATCCAGTATACCTGACGAATGCCTACAACCACCTCACATAGAATACCAATGTATGTAATGTCAAACCATGTAAATTAGTGACCATTTCGCACCTTAATTGACAGAATCCGAACAAAACAAAGGATCAAGTGAACATTACATTATAAGTAGAGATGGATGGAGGCTAGCAATAGAATCCAGGACGCGCATGTCGTCCTATTTTAAGACTCGTCAGCTGGATGTACCTGCATCTCAGAGTTGATGTTCACTCTGGAACTCGAACCCAGTACCGTTCACTTTGAACGCCAGTGCATGATCCACTTTACAATTGAGTCGAGATAGTCACCAACTTGTACAATGTAGTGAAGTTTTAATTCATTTTGTATTGGCTGTTTGAACGAGTACCGAACAGGATGAAATACGTGTCCTGAATCCTACTGCTAGCCACCATCCATCTCTGTTAATAATACTTGTGATTTAAAGTAATATCTTGGCAATCCGCACAAAATGCACAAATACCAATAAGAGATCGATTAATCACTGTCTTAAACATCATTGAGAGGATTCAAACAACCAATAAAAAATGAATTAAAAGATGACATTAGTTACTGGTCAGTGATTAATCATTACTGATAAAACTTATGTAATAAAGAGAAATCAGTTTATAAGTTTATTAAAGTGTTTTCTGGAGTCATTTAAAGACCATTATAATAAATAATCAATTTTGGCAGAGGTAATAACGATAATAATAATCATTGTGAATAAACTATTTTTATAGTAGGTAAACATCATGCTATTAAATATTAACGATACTTATTAACAATTCATCTTGAAGATGACGACGATTTTCAATCGAATAAACAATCTCACGTTTACCCATTTTCGCGCGTCAATCTATAGAATAAAGAAACTAGAAGTAGGAACTTGTTTAGAGAATCATATTTCTTCTTCATACTAACATAATGAGGATTAAGGTTCCTTATCACTGTGGTTTCTATCACAGGTTGCGCTAATTAAGTATCGTAAACCAGACAATGTTAAACAATTAATACTTTTTTTTTTGCTTTTTCATTCGTAACATACAGTTCGATAATGAGTTTTATTCATTCAGACTGGTAATTTTCTGACAATAATTTTAAAATGGTCTAGAATCAGATACCAAAACAACAAATTTCAAATTATATTTTATAGAAATGATCATAAAAATAATTAGGTCATAACTGTGATAATTGACATTGGTAATTTATTTTGTCTATTGGTCAGCAACTGAATAATTCTAAGTATGAAAAATTATCATTCTTACAGGGTTTTTTTAGCATTACTAGTTATATTTTATTATATTATATGATATGTGATTATCAGTGAAATCTAGGGCATGCATTTCGTCCTATCTAGGGCACGTCAGCTGGATATACCTGGTTCTTAGTGCTAACATTAAGACTTCAACCAACTGCTTTTCATTTCAAACGAAAACTCATTATTTGCAGATCCACTAACTTGTTCAATGTGTTTGATGTTTATTGGCAAATGCATAAATTATCCTATTATTGTTAAATAATAGTGAATTTTGATCTTTTTTTTTAAAATTAAAGTAAACTCATTGTAAGTTGACTAATTGTTTCATTTAGACACTGTGTACTTTAATATCAAGTATTTTTAAAGTTAAACATCAAAATGCATAAAGTTAACTACAGAGTAAACAAAAAACGAACTAAGTCACAAACAATGTATCTAATATATAGGGTTATTGGCATAGATTTTCATTGAAAATCATCCATCTAACTGTCAACTTCTTGTCAAATTATCATATTAATTAGTTTTTATTTATATTTGTGCAATGTACAATGATTGTCAGAAAAAAGTTACTACTGTTAATGGCTTGTTACGTATGTATGTGTGTATGTGCGTCAGTGTGTGTGAGTGTGTGTGTGTATTAATTCACCTGAGTAAACTACAGAAAAATAGATAATAAATTTTTGTCTGATTAAAATACTGAACTTGATATGAATAATTAATTTACTCATTTTTTTCTTCATTGTGTATCATCAGCAAATTGTGTAAATGTAACAAGATAAGTTTACTCAATTGAAAAACAGTATAAAGTAAGGGTGGTAATGAGTTAATTAATTTTATTTTTGGTCTTAAAAGCTAAGATCAAGTTTTTTGTTTTCTACATACATTGCAAATATACATTTATTATTATACGGTACAGTTGAGCTTTGGGTTATAATAATATGCTGTAATAAAAAATATGCAGTTATTAATTACTCCTGGTCTATCATATATATATATATAGCATTAGGATTAACACCAATATCAAAATGGATTGCCTACCGAAAAAAAACGAGCTCAGAAAAGCCCTAATAGATAGGAGAATAGAAACTCTATTGTTACCTATCCCCAAGGCACATTGACTACTTTTGCAACCGATGGTGTAAGGATCGAGCTTACGCCATACATACCGCTAGTTGACTCAGTATCTAATTTACTTACGAGTTCCGCATCAAGATACAATAGCATAGATAATATAAAGAGTGAATTAGATGGTATATATAAGCAGGTCTAAAGTGAAATCACTTGCAGTTACACCTTCAATACATGATGATTTTAAATAAGCGATAAAAGCTAGAACACCTTTTAAGCTACTATTGTTGAAGAACATGGTTCCTACTGATCTTGAAGAAATTATCATAGCAGCATCTGTTATCGATGTTTTTGCTAGTGAAGTTACTAAGTGAATAATCTCTAATAACAACGTGATTATCTGTTACATATGTGACAAAATTTCGCTTTAATCCGTCAGGTAATCGATACTGCAAGCAGCTAACCTTCAGGATAGTTCATGCTATTGTATTCGTCTTAATAAAAAGCACCGGAAGTTCTCGCGGTCTATTGTGCTTAGATTCGATTCACATTTAGCAGCTGAACAAATAAAGGAATCCGAACGGTTTATTTGAGAACTCACGAAGTTCAAGACTGCCCATATAACTGCTGATAAAACCACCAATCAAAGACCTATGCAAAAGTGTATCTCAAACAAAAATATTATGTAAAAACTACTACGAATCTTGTTTTTTGACTTCATTCGATATTATGTTATGTTGCCTCATCAAAAGGATACACTCATGAGATTAACAAATCGCCTGTCTGTCAATACTCTAATTTATCAGTGAAAAATGCTAACTTGCCAGTGTATATTTAATGTAGACATAGATCTTGTGCCTTCTGATATCTCCCAATATAATAGTAGAAGCGCATACTCAAACATGCAGTCCTAACTTGATAGTTCTTCGAAGCAATCCTAAGATTAAAAAAACCACTCCACATAATAAGAAAGTATGAATAGTGTCTGGCTTTAAAACCAGTACCAAAAATATTACAAAGATTTATTCAGACAAAAATATAGTCCTGAACACTAAGTTTGACCCTTTTAACCATAGGGTTGGTCATAAGGGCACACAAACAAGAACTGGTCGGTTCACCATTTCATCATTCCAGCTAAACCTAAAAACAGTGAGTGACTTGTCAAAACCCAACTTTGTAAATCAGTGAAATATACTTTGCACTACTGATGCACAAAAGATCCACCACAACCATGATGTAAGCATACTTAATATTAGACAGACTGGAAGGGACGAACGTGCCCCATAGTTGCACCAAAAATTTTTATATACTGAATTTGCAAAATAGAAATTTCCCGAAGGACAAGATGAACTTCTAGATTACGCACCATCAACCCAACTCTAACGCGTAAGTGACTTTCCTAATTGTTCACCAAGTCAACCTCAGCAATTAAGTTCACCTTATCGAAATAATGAGAATTGTCGGCCTTCAGAAATCCGTAATTACTCTTAGGCTACAACTTGT